TTCTATAATTTAAATAAATCATCAAATACTTGCATTAATATATTTACTATTGCTGCAACATTTTTCACATAAATGTTTAATTTTTAACACACAATGCATTATAGAAGGCGTAGTTTAGAAATTTGACAGTCAAACCGATAAGCCATGCCAAAATCGCACGGGTTTCGAGCGAATTTCGCACGTTGAAGTGGGGTGCTTTATGCGTATTGCGCTCGTGCGGCTATCGTAAAAAGCTGGTACGACCATAGCACGCATCATGTTCTTTTTTTTCATTTTCGATTCTCGTGCCATGATTGCACGGACTTCATGCATAAACAGATTGAACGATGGTGCTATTAGCGCATTGAAATAGGCCACGCGATAGTTGTATCGACTGTCTGTGTCAAAATCGTAACAGATTTCTGTCCGTGTAGTAAGCTAGATTTGAACCAATGGATTTATTAAATTGTTTGAGAATCGCGTTTCTCAAATAAAAGACTAATTTAAATCTAGCTTAAATCGGATTTCAGGTTGAATCATTATTATGAATACAGACCTTAAAGTCATGTAAGTTGATAATGTGCATCAAAAGATTAGCTTAATAAATAATTTTAAAGTGCGATAAAATTGACTAATAAAAAATTAATTAACAAAAAAATTTATTATCACATTTCTTTATTTTTTTGCAAAAATTAATTAATACTCTAATTGATGATTTTGATTTATGGTGCTTTAAAAAAAATGTTTTGAATAATATAATTTAATTTATTCGATTGATATACATAAAGAAGAATATAGTTAACAAGATCTAATCATTGCTCGCGATGGAAAAAAGAATTATGTACAGAATGTCAAAAGAATATGTTTTTTGGGAGGAAAAAAAACGGAATATTAATTTTACCTCTTCAAGAGAGTGATGATCACGCATAACAGGGCGGTTGCATGTATCAAACACTTTCGTATGTGTAAGATAGAATTGTACAATCAGTATATACATTATGTTCAATGCCTTTGTTTCTATGATAGCAATAACAGGATACCGATATCACTTGTGGTTTAGACATCTGTCTCGCTAATTGGTCTAAATTAGAATTCGCGGATTAAAATTTAGACCCCGTATTTCTCGTTCGTTTATAATATAAAAGAAGTATATTATTAATTATATCATTATGCTATATCTTTGTTTGCCATTATTGCGTCGAAATTTTTTCACAAAGAACGGCAGCTTAGATGATAGAATTAAATTGAGCAGTCTTGGTCCTTCTATTTTCCATCATTCTTTGCAATGATCAAGAGAGTTTCTTTTTTTATTATGTATATCGTATCTTTTCATAGACACGATTACTCATTGCAAAGCTCATGAACATCTTAATTCGCAATGAAAAGCGCATGAATAAATACGTCGAATGTTTTGCAATATTTATAGCAATTAGCCCGTAGCGTAGCATGCACACCAAAAAATTCAAAATACCCAAACATATGTATTCTGCATCAAATCAGGTTCTATTTTCTCAATGATTGTCTATCGAAGTGAGCTGAGAATTGGCAAAGTATCTCTTTTCGTTGTTTCTTTTCTTCTCATTAGACTCACATTTCCTTTACGAAGCCGCGATATGTTCGTGTGGTCCATGAATTTCGTAGTGACGATTACGAGAGATGAAAAATTATGAGATTTTGAGCGCGATTATTTCACTATACGATCTATCCTCTCGTTGACATTTTGCGATTAATTTAGTGGCCGTTGCCTGGAAGACTTCTAGAACGTTGATTACGGAGCATCGCTGCTATTCTGTCGGCATATATAAATAATATATCGTTACACTCATTTAAGGGGCGTTTCGATCTAATCGCCACGATTTGTTCCTATTTTTCGATTCCACACGTATGTTAAACGATAATTTTTACACAGGCAACGAAGCTACTCTTCCGAGATGTTAGTCGACTCTTGTTTATTATTCGAACCAATTTATGTTTGCTTGACACACTGTTTGATCTTACTTTCTTTTAACTTCTTCGATCTTAAGTTTTATATCTATATTTTTTGATCGCTAACCTGTGAACTGTTTTTTCTATAGATGTTGAATATACATATTGTCGTATTTTTTCATCGATATGTATAATAAAAAAATGACTGGTCACACATATCTGGATGAGGCCTGTTCGAGTTCTATCAAGCAAGTGGAACACAGCCTTTTCCGTATTTATATTAATAACTATTTGCAACGCCTTAAGCTCTTCTCAATGATAATAACTGATTGTGGCGTATCTACGCGATGATCTAATGGGTAGAGCCTTAGCATTATCTTTTCTGTCCCATTCAAACTTCTGCTTATTTTTTTCTTCCTAGATCTACTTGATTGTATATTATGTTTAATGACGTATACATTTCCAGAGTAGGTGCATCCATCGATTGTATTCCTAGAACATCATCAGTACAGCTATATACGTGAATGTTCTCGCTTTTTCTCTTCTACAACAAAAGATAAAATTATCCATATAGCACACATCACTCAAGGGATATCACATAAACGTCACGATATATGGACGATATTGTATAAATATCGTAACGTTTATGTGACGTTCTTCGAATAAGGTGTGTTGTATGAGGATTAATATTGTTGTATGAATATTAATGCTTTTCGATATATGTATAAATAATGCTTTACGAAATAATTAAAATATTTTGTTTACGAATTTTTTAATTAATTCAGAATAAATGTTTTTTTAACAAAAATCATAGTATAAAAACAAATAATAAAATCTGACATTTTTATTTGATTTTACATACATTGAGAAGAAAAGATTTTAATTCAATTAATGATTAAACTTCTTATTTTTTAATATTTAATTTTATTGTTATTTTAATTTGTTAACATTTGATTTTAATTTTAAATTAATTATAAAAATCAAGTAATAATGAAAAATAGAAAGGACTCTCAAATATTAAAAAATCTAAATCGACGTTAAAAAGGACATATAAGAGTCAAATAAATACTTGAATATATATATAT